TTTTTTTTTTATAAGCGCGTGGGGGCAACCGAACCTTTTTGCGTGCGATCGTGACGTTTGTTTAGCGGCAAAAAGAGTGTGCGGGTTGTTTTTTGCGCTGAAATGTTTTGTTTGGTACGTAATGACGATGTACCCACCATATAAAGCAGGGGGTATAATTTTTGTGGAAAGGATCGTTACTGTACTCGAGTTTTCTACGACTCATCCACGGGGGCCATTATGCTTGCGGAAGAGGGGAAAAAAAAAAGAACTTTTGACTCGCGTATTGCGCCGTGAGTTGGGGATGGGAAGAAAAAAGCAGCCGAAAGCAATATTATTGACCAGATCCGACGTTGAGGGCGAATACTTGGAAAATTAGATCCCTACACAGCGACAAACTCTCTCGTTACCTCTTTGACGATACGTTACGAGAAATGAGCTGCTGTAGGTCACTTGGGTTGTAACAGTGAGGGACAAAAAAGTATATTTCTCTAATATTAATTTTTGGGTTGTTTTTTGTTTGCAGTGTTAAAAAACGACCACGAATCCACAGGCATGCCAACACCCAACATTGGATTCTCAAAGGTGAGCGCTTTTTCTTTTCATCACGAACCAAACAGTATAAACTATGATCGGGCTTTCTCTTGCATATTATATCAAAGACACACGAAACAGTCGAAAGTAAATGTCTTGAATAAAGAAAAAAAAAAAAAAAACAATCGACTCTTATCTTGCCCAACAATAAGTTTGGTTGTTAATTTAAACGCTGCTCTCGAGGACATATACCCAAGCCCAAAAGGCCCGTAAAACCAGTAAGTAAAACAAACAAAACAAAGGAAAATACCCCCAACGCTCCTTTCTCTCTCTCTCTCTCTTTGCTCCTCCGGAAAACCATCACGATAACAGTATCGTTCCACTTTGACGCGTTTTATTTCCTTCCCGTATGTTGATTTTATTTTTTTCTGTATCTCTTTAATGACGCTCGGTAAAATTTTTACCGTCTTTTTCCTCGTTGCCTTCCTCTCGCTATCACAGCTTCTGCCATTGCACGCCAATGTATGCCGCTTGTCCTCTTGCGCCCCATGTCCCGTCGCGTGGGCGTCTATAGGCTCACCTAGTATTCGCGCAAAATCATGTTCCGATGAAGGAAAAAAAAAAAAAAAAAAACCAGCACACCAACGAGAGTCCTCTGATCTATACTTTTCAGGCCATGTCCGGCTTCATCATGATGATGACTCAACAGGGCAAGCTGCTGTACATATCGGAAAATGCTGCCGAGTACCTGGGACACTCGATGGTAATACAACCACATCGTAATGATAACCAACGCCTGGCAAACAGCACAGCCAAGATAATCGTTACGTGCAAAAAAAAAAAAAAAAAAAAAAAGAAATGTGCACACATACGATTTCTTTTTTTCGCTTTTACGAGCTTTAAAGATAATTATTTTAACTGTTAAGACGAGTCGTGCGTGTTATCCGTAAAGTTTGCGTTTTCCGTACTTTTATTACTTGTTGTTGTTGTTTTTTTTTTAATGATTTTACAGAGTTATACCTAAAAGTATCGTTTCCAAAGCTACCGCGTGAACGCGTCGAATGTTTCGGGCGAATAAAGGTCAGCAGACCCGCTGCAATTATTAATATTTCAATTACGACGGCCAATGCCATAAATAACAATGATTTTTAAAACGGGACGAACTCGCCTATACGCGTGTGCGATACGCGTATATCATTGAATGCACGCGCTTCACGCCGTATTATGCGAAATGATTTGCGGAGTTAATAGCCGCCGACTGAAATTAATCGCGCGAGCGAGATTTAAAATCCTAGAGCGCGATGCACCTCGGGGATAGCACGAAGCAACTCTCGGTGGTGTTTGTTATTTTTAATTATGCAATGGTTTTAATATTACACCCCTCGGGGGGAGGGGGGGATGTCAGTATTGTATTTATTGCGGTTGGCAGTTTTAATCATAGTACTTTGGTGAGGTGTAAAAAAAAAAAGAAACAAATAATTTTCCAAAAGTATTTTATGAGCGTGCTTCGTGTCCCTCTGTACCTTGAAATGCACATATATATATAATACATGTAGCGTTGCATACGGCAAATGCACATCTACAGCTGCGAGCGCGTGGCCGGGCAATCAAGACGCGACGAGTATACTTTTAAATTGTAGTGCCGGTACTAAATTTGCCTTGATTAGATTGCATTATCCTCGTTGCGATATGAAAGATTTTTACACCCAAGAGATAAAAAAAAGCCAACCAAACGTTTTAAAAATACTTCTATTATTTTTATATTTTTTTTTTTCGTTTTCCTTCTTTTTCGACGTGGGTTTTTACAATATCCTTGCACAAAATTGTTTAGTAAAAGTACTTACACCCTCGTTTGTGCTCGAATGACGATGACATCGCAACGAGTGAGGTGAAATAAATAAAAAAAAAAAAAAAAAAAAAAAGTAATAATAATTGTACGCACAGGAGGACCTACTGATCCACGGGGACAGCGTTTACGATGTCGTGGACAAGCAAGACCACATGGTTATACAGAACCAGTTGGCTAGGAGCGTGCCGAGCTCGAGCGACGACCGGCGATTGTTCCTCTGCCGCATAAACGTGTCGCGGAACTCGCGCCGGCAGCTCCGTTTCGGGGATCAAAAGGTAACAGCCACAACCGCCCGTTCTTGATTTTCCCCAAGTGACGTTGGTTTTCAAAACGACAGGTCGTACTGGTGGAAGGGCATTACTTGCCGTTCGTGCCGCTCTGCAATCGCAACGAGTCGGTGTTTTTGGCGTCGTGTACCCCGGTCGTTTTGCCCGAAACGCGGGAGAGCGTCGTGCAGGGCGCGACGAATATCTTCACGACGATACACTCGATGGACATGAAATACCTGCACATCGACAAAACGTGAGACAACCCTTACTGGATTTTCTTTCTTTTTTTTTTTTTTTTTTTTTTTTTCATGGATTTTCAAAATAATGACAATTGCATCTTGTACGAAAACTGCTCTTCTTCAAAAATATGTTTGGTTTTTTTTTAAAGTATTTTATTGGGCAGTTAATATTTTACATGTTTTTTTTATTTTTTCAAGTTGTGCGCTGAAGTAGTCATAAAAGAATGCATCGCTAACACAAGAATAACGACCCAACTAAATACTTGAAGATATATGTATTTTTTTGTGTTTCAATCTCTGTAATGTAAAGTTATTGCGAAAAATCGAAAAAACTTTCTTTATCGAAGAATGACAAAAGAATCGTACGTGTCGGTTCATCAACAAATTATTCGATGAAAATTGTATTTTTTTAATTTTTTTTTTTTTTTGCTCACTTTAACTCATATAAGGATTGCTTAAAAAACAAATGTTTAGTTTTTTTTATATATACACAATGTGTTTTTGCAATTTTNTTTTTTTTTTTTTTTTTTTTTTTTTTTTTTTTCCAAGACATTGTAATTAAAAAGAAAAAAAGCAAACATTACAAACAATATTCACAGCGCCGAAAGCCATATGGAATATAGTCGTTCGGAGCTCGTCGGTGTCTCCTGGTATAACCTTCTCCATTGGGATAGTATACGTACCGCGTACTGCAAGCACCAAACAGGTAGACCGGACATTACGATTGTCAATGTTGTTAGACAAAAATTTCACCCCTACGACTTTTTGCTCTCTCAGTTGTACAGTCCGATCAGGAAAGATCGGCAACGGCCCTGCTAAGGCTACAGAGTCGTTCTGGTCGGTGGTTTTGGATTCATTGCGTTTTACAAGTCAAGGACACGTCCGAAGAGTGCCAGCATCCTATTATCGTTTGTACCAATCAAGTATTAAGGTGAGTTTTTAATTTTTTCTTTTTTCACAGCTCATTTTACTCTCCGGTAAATATATTCAAGTGGATGAAAAAAAAAAAAAAAAAAAAAAAAAATCCATGAAAATGGTTCGTTCCAGTGAAAAAGAGGCTGAAATATTGCGCGCCAGTTCCTGGCTGTATCAGTATTCGTCGCAGACAAAGTTCACGTACGGCGTGTGTCCGACTAGTCTGCCTATTACCGCGTCGTCGCAGCCAACGCCAACCCAAGCCCCCCAGCAACCGGTCCCTCATCTGCCGCACGCGGACATGGTCCCTTACAGTGCCGAAGCGACGGCGGACTACAACAACGGCAGGCCACACCTGCTCCCGAGTTTACCTTACAATTCGCAGCAGCACGACATACCCGAGCTTGGAATGTCACCGTACCACCAGCCGATGGACGATGGGCACGTCGTCGCCCCCTGGTCCAAGGAACGCACGCACGTCAAGCAAGAACCTGCTGAGGTCTTTTTTTTTTTTTTTTTACTTTCCATTGATTTTTTAGTTTTTATCGTGACATGCATATAGGTGTGATGTATATAATAGGTATTGAATTTGCAAGTCGTGTCTCGATTGAAAGAAAAACAGAAAACACCAAATGATCAAAAGTCCACTTGATACGGTACACCTGATCGTATATATCGCGCGTGTGTATGTTCACGTAGGTGTACAGCGACGCAAGTGTTCATCGAGGGCCACCGCGAAATCACCCATCGGTTCACGGACCGGAGACCGAGACCGCCGAGCCTGTCGACATGTCCATCAACAACAGCGCGCCCGAGCCACACCACGAGCGACACCTCATGCACCACTGCTCCAACACCAGTGGGGAGTACTGCCCGTGCAAGGCCCATTTGCCGGTTGTGAGTATATACACGTGTATATTAAAATATAAATGGTTTTTTTTTTTTTTTTTTTTTCCTTTTTCATCAATCCCTCGCATAAATCGATGGTCAGGTCGAGCACAACAACAAGAGCCCGAACCGTGGCTCGTCCATACCGTCGAGCGTGCCCTACTTACGTCCGAACAGCAAGGCGCTCTCCCACTACCTCTCTGGACAGCAATCGCCGCAACGACACCACCACCAACACCATCACCAACAGCAAGCGTCGCTGTCGCCGCAACAGCACCACCAACAAATGTCACCGGTAATGGCACCCAGCCCGGACGGCAACAACGGCGGCCTCAAGTACAACATCGTCGATTTGGACAAACTTGGGCACAATCCGGCGCCCCCGGAGCCGGCCCACATGTACGGGGGAGGACCGTCGCCACATCACGCCGTTCACCCGCAGAAGCGGCACTCGTCGTTTCTCTTGCTCCATCATCAGGCCAAAGCCACGGGCCAGCCGGGCGCCGATGAACACCCGTGCCTTGCCACCACTACCGATGACTCGCCACACCACCACCACCATCTCGCTCTACACCACATGGTGAGAGCTTTATTTATTTCGTTTTTTTTTTCAAGAACGAATAATCTGACACATTGGTTTACCCGAAAAAAAAATTTTCTTTCCTACATTGCCATTATTTTAAATACAATTTAGTTCGAGTTTTTAAGTGTTAAGTACTATTTTGATCTCACTCGTGCTCTTTCAAAACTCCTACGGTGCAGTCCATTCGTTTAACCGCGGCTACAAAAAAATAAGTAGAATGTGTCTGCCTTGATTTCACCGATTAGTAGAAAAAGCCGTGACTGGACAGACATGGGTACAAACAAAGTATAGCCAGTACGTGAATCTTTTTTTTTTTTTTTTTATATTACACCTCAATTCTCTTGTACGGCACTCATAACAGAGGTATATTAAATTGTTCAATAAGATAAACGAGTTGGAGGTAAGCTTTGACATTTTCGATGAAACTCGTCCGCATTGAAATCATCCGGTTGTGGCATGAGAACACACACGAAGCCTCCTCGCAATCGAGTTATATAGACGTACGTTTTTCAAAAATGTAGTAAACACTAATGCACCACGGGTACTTTTGTAAAACAGTCGTATGGCTAAAAAACCCCGATTGAATCCAAATAAATGTGAAATATCGTAAGGATGAAAAAAAAAAAAAAAAAATGATAAAACAAACGCAGGAGCAGTGGACGAGCCCGGCCGGTGGGAACTCCGCGGTGTCGATACCAGTGGCCGGAGGGGCCCAGGCGATATGGTCGGACTGCGGGCTGCAGAGGGTACCGGACGTCGTGCACCAGGAGCTCAGCCCGTACATAACGACGCCAACGACGCCGGCCGATCCCGCCGACGACTCGTCCGAGCACCGCACCCCCGAGACACCTGCCTCGGTCTTCAACTTCGACTGGCCTGGCGAGCAGCATGTGCCCAACTTACGCGTCCTCACCTTTCGCAACAGTAGCTCGTCGGGCCTCGTCTCGCCCGGGGCCGGTTACCTAGAGCCGAGGCGGCCGGCCTTGCAGGAGGTCCAGCCCATAACGCTGCAGCTGCCGAGGAAGAAGAATTTCCACGCCGAGGCGAGCGGCCATCGGGACTATGCCAAGTGAGCCGAGCAGGCTAGTTATTTATTAATTTATTACTATTATTATTACTTTTATTTTTATCTTTTATTATTTTTATTAATAATAATATCGTCGTGCTATATTTTTCGTTTGTTTGCGCGTGTGTATGACGTCGTAGTGTTTTTACCACTTACTTCTCGTCGTTCCTTATTTTTATGCGTCTGCCTTTTTTTTTTTTCGGTTATAGTTTTTTCTTCTCTCTTTGACCTGCGTGTAGTTCAAAGCTGAAAAATTGGTGCTCGGAGCCAAAAGCTGGAAAAAGAGTTGTATTTTGATCATTGCCATCTCTTTGTGTACAAAGGAAAAGCTTTTTTTCTTTTTTTTTCCATGAAAATTGAAAATTAGTTCGTGATACTGCAAAACAAAGTGTTTGTTTTGATCGTTTTTTCATTTTGTGTACATAGAATAACAAAAACAAAAAAAACCATGAATTGTAAAACAAGTCATTAATCACTTGAAAAAAGTGTCAGTGACAAATCAAACTTCGTGGGTTTCGTTGTTCCCACTAATTTTTTTTTTCTCTTAGTGTGATATTTGTTGTAGTGGAGTGGTTATTGTAATATAGATTCTTAGTGCCGTGAAAATTCGATCCTCGCAAGTCTGATCCATCTTGATTTTTTGGTTGTCATTTTGCCGGTATTGTCTCTTGAACTTATTTTTTAATTAATCAATTTAAATGTAATTCGTTTAATGAACGGAGATGCAAAAATACACGTCAAAATAATACCCTGAATGACAATTAAAAATTCTTGATTTGATGGTTGTATTAATTCCGTGTAGATAAATAGTTGCCAATTTGTAAAGAAATAATAATTATTGATAGGAAAAAATGTGTGATTATAAAATAAAGTGTAATAATTATTCTTCAGCATCAGCCTTTACTCGAGGCGTGAGACTATAGTAGACGTGTCATATAGTTAAGCCAAGGTGACAGTAAAAAGAAAAAAAAAAAAATTATTTGAGTTTCTCAACGAGAAGACTACGTGTGTTGTTTGTACTTTCAGTTAGCAAAGCCACAGCTACATGCAATTTTTTTAAAGTTTTTTTTAGTACAAAAATTTTCATGAGATGTTTTAAATTATACTGCATTTACATTCGAGTGTCCATTACCATAAATATTAAAAAACACCAGTACAGTATTGTTAATCAAGATTGTTCCTATGATACTTAAAATTTGTGTGAGCTTTAGTTTCATCGTAAGCATTCAGATAATCTGGGCGTACAAAAAACATCCGAAACTCTCAAATGTAAACTTCATCAGTGCATCATTTAAGCGTTTGAATTAAAAACGTGCAGTGTATTCCATTTTTTAAATATATTATATGCATCAATTATATAACACTTTTTTTTGTCAATTCAAAATCATTAGAATTAAAAGGAAACAAATTGTGGTATTAAGGCCAAATTTATATTTATACATTTATTGTACGTAAAACTTATGAACGTCGATGTTTGTTTAAATAAGCTTCTCTGTCTCTCTCTCTCCCTCGCCAAAACCTTAAATCTTCGCGCCAAATCTTTGTCTTACACTATTAATACTATACAACATATTACTCATGGCATATATATCTTCGTAAAAAAGAAAAAAAAAGGAAAAAGAACAGTTCCCACGTGCGCTGTCACAGTTTTTTTATCGTTCTCTCTACTTAATACTTTTATAATATTCATCGCGCTCTTCATACATGTAATTATTAATAATTTAATTCTTTTTTTTTTTTATAATACACCCAAGTTTTTTCTATTGAACACACAACACACGAACGCTTTTGCATTCAACCAACACACATGCACACTCGAAAGGTTATCGCCCTTTTCAAGCGCGACAACCTTAGCTTTTATCATCAAATTCCTTCGCACTGAAGTATCCTCGATTCTTTTTTTATAATTTTTTTTTTTTCTACATATAGGTACCAAATTTGTTTCGATACATCGATAGTCTTGATTAATCATACAGGAAAGCATTTGCTGAACGATAAAAAAATTATCTTTGACGAGCGGAGGACTATTCTTCTTCTTTTTTTTTTTTTTTTTTTTTTTTTTTTTTTTCAGTGTTTCCACCTCAGAATCAATCGCTTCGTGTACAATGTATATGTATAATATATGCTAATGCGTCGTTAGTCTTTGATAAGAGAACGAAATGTGCCACCAAACGTTTTGTTTTCTTCTCCAGCTGCGCAATGCGCTCGTAGCTCTGTACGTAATTGTATATAAATCGACATGCTATGCGACGTGTATGTTGGTGTATTTTTTTCTCTTTCTCTCTTTTTTTTTTTTTTTTTTTTTTTGCAATTTTTACATCCAAGTATAACACGCTTATTCAAAATTCATGGTCTTTGCAGCAATACACGGGGTTTCTTTAATTCATAAATCATGTGATCATTTCGATTCAAACAACCGCACCGCGGTATGTTGTGTCAATCATTGCACCGTATCATGAAATCTTTCCCCTCTTTTATTTATTATTATTTTTTTTTTCTTGTAAACAATCTAAATATATCATAGACTATATGTAGACCATCAAAATAATTATGTATAAATAAATATAAATTCTATACTCATTGTATATGTATATATAGATACACTCATCACCAATTTGTACAAATAACATAACGATCGAATGAGATTTCGATTAAACTAAATGACAATACGATCGGCGATATTATTATTATTATTATTATTAGTATTATATGCTGCAGATGCGCTGTTCAGAGCTATACAACACACGTCTTTTTCTCTTACCAGATTTATATTATATGTAAAAAGAAAAAAAAAATTAAGCGCTCGCTGCTACTTTTTTTTTTTTTTTTTACCAAACATCGATTAATCGATCAATTGTACAAAACAAACAAAAATAAATACAACACTGTCAAGCCATTTTAATTTTATCGCAATAAAAAATACTGTTGCAAACACGAAAAGTGAATTATATTTATCTTCTCAACCGCTATTCGCCCCTCGTTTTATAAATGATTATATTAATCTCACTTGTACGTCGCTTAATTTAAGTACATTGATTTTTTTTCTCCTTCCTCTTTTTAATACAAACCAACTTAGGGATACATCTTCATAGAAATACTGATCAAGTACACGAGTCCATACAAAATGCTTCGTCATCTCGAAAATGCATTGTTTATACCGATAAAGGTTGAGCATTCGAATGGACCGAAACAAAGCGTGTATGATTTAATTTCCAAAGGTGTGTGGACCACAAGCATAGTGACAAGTTTTGTTCGAACCTCGCACAAACGGTTCATAAAAAAAAATTTTTTTAATAAAAATTCTAGCGCTCCTTCTCTGCTCTTTCTCGTAGCGTTCGCATTTCTTTTTTATCCCTTGTATGTATACCTATACGTATGTATTTATGTACACAATAGCAGAGCAAAGAGCCGTCTTTTAATTCATTTTTTGCTCGTGTTAGCGCAAAATTCATTTTCTTACGCCACAATATTTGCTCGCTACTTTTACAAATTTTTTTTTCATGAAGCATGTATACTCCGTGGCGTTGTACCTTTTTTTTTTTTCAAAAAATATCGAGCTTTCTTAAAAGCTCTTATACGCTTGAAAAAAGTATACGTCATGTGTGTAAATGTGAGTTGATTTGTGTGCGTGTGCGTGTATTCATGTGGTTCCCGTAATCCGGATGAGAAAATAAAAGACGAGCAAGACAACAATCCGCGTAAAATTGCAGAAACAAAAAGTAAATAAGTTAAAAAAAGCAAAATAATCGACATTATGTTTTTTTTCGACATATATGATTTTTTATTTAATGCGCATGTATATATGCTCGTTTCATGGGTATTTTAACTATTAATTTCGTTATACAAATAATAGTTGACAGTTTTTTTTTTTTTTTATTCGTCATTCATTTCGTAAAAACGCTTTCTCGTGTATAAATAGTACAACTCGTGTGCTTTTATTTTTACTTTATTTTCTTTATATTTATGTCTGTTTATACTATTTGTAAATTGTTTTACATTTATATTATTATTNAAGTTTCGATAGCTAAGGTAGTAAGGGCTTATGCCACTACTGTTCTTGTTTTGCTATCTGAGGATCGATTCCAACTGTCGGCAAATTTTTTTTTAACGTGATTCATCATTCTAGTTTATTTTCTTTATATTTATGTTTTATTATACTATTTGTAAATTGTTTTACATTTATATTATGTTTCTGATAATCATCGCAAAGAGCAAATTATTTTCTTTATATTTATGTCTGTTTATACTATTTGTAAATTGTTTTACATTTATATTATGTTTCTGATAATCATCGCAAAGAGCAAATTTTTTTTCTTATTTTATTTTATTTTTTTTCGTAATCTTTTTAGGTAATCTCTTTCGTCGTCTATCGGAAAAAATCGGCATGTGTCCATCGCCAAACCCGCTTCACGCGCAGAACACAATAAACTTTCTCGTAACCGTCATCATTGTCACGCGATTTTGTTTAAAAATTATTTTATCGTTATACATTTTAGAAATGCACTCTTTGTAGCCCACTCGCGATATTTATAGTTTTTAACGTTTCATCGTGATATTTTTTGTTTTTGTAAAACACTCGGTGACTACAAATATTTTGTTTGTTTATTTTTTTTTACTTTACTTATTATACTACACATCAATTGCTCGTCGTACTGCTGCCGCGCATATTTTTTATTATTTTATTTAAATAACCATCGTTTCCTTAATAGCGATTTTTTTTCTCCGTTAATTAATCTTAAATTGGTGATAATGTAAACCACGTATATAAACACAGACTGTAAAAACAATGGTATTTTATACAACTTTTTTTTTCATTTCATTTTTGTTTTAATTATTATGAATATCTCATGTATCATATGCATGTTATCGTACCAATATCAACGTATCAATGTTTATTTATATTTTGTAACCTTTTTTTTTTCTCGCTTTATTATTCTTTTACGTAATACATCATTTTTCTTCTTCTCACCCCTTGCCCCCCGTATTTATCTCATTTCAAATCATTGG